AAGCTGGCCCTCCAGAGCCGACAAAAAGAGAAAATTAACACCTGATGTTTGACTACGCCTCCAGACGGAGGGACAGCTGGACAAATGCCATCATCATTTACAACTTTCAAAAAGTGTGGTGTGAATGTATTTGCAGTACACTTGGAACAGCTTGGATTATTTACAGGTACAACTGTGTTTAATGTAGAATTTCAATGGATTTAAAACATTATTAGATTCAATCACTGATCACAGCGTATAGGTGTGGCATATGAGCAATATGATTAGATGCCTTAATTAAGTCTCCCAGAACAAAATGCATCTGTCTGGTGATGTTGGGGGAGGGGAGATAGCAAAAGAGCGTCAGAATTTTGTTTAATTGTTGACTCTCACGGATGAAACTCTCATCTTGGGAAAGGCTGTTTATTTTTCACTATCTTCTATGGTGGTCTAAGGGGCCAATAATCATAGAAAATAAAGATGGAAGCAAATGTCTACATCTTAAGGATAACTTTGAATATGGATTACTAAGCCATAAAAGATTTGTATTATATTGAAATGTGCAAAAGCACTAACCTATATCCCTAGAGATTAGGAAAGTGAACTTTACTGATAAAATATTATAAATAATTGTGTGATATCAATGGATGTATATATGAAAATATATTTAGTTGTATCTGCATGGGGCTTTAAAAAATTCTTGAAAAAGATTCCATTATGTTTCAAATCTGTTTTTCCATGAACTTTTGAAGTCTCCTGGTATGTATATATTCAGGTTTCATTTATCAGCAGGGTTAAATTCCAAAGAACAGGGGTTATGGAGAATCTGAGATATGGGGGACTCAGAAGGTCTTTGGCTGTGTGCTCCCCTCACTCAGCTCAGTGCTTTTCAATGGCTCCTGCATGTTTCAGGATGCATGCTGCCATGCAGTGTGCCTCTCCTCCCACCAGACTCATTCTCCATCACTGAAGAGCCTGCAGGGTTGGGGTTGGTGGTGGTACTGTGGTAGACCACTGCCTCCGGAGCATCAGGAGCCCACCATCACCTAATCATGCTCCAGGCTTCTTTGCTTTGTGCCTCTCCACAATACTGGTCCATCCCCCTGAGGTGAACCTTAGCACTGGGCAGCTCGTGGGTCTGAAGATAGGCGAAACTGGCCACCTGGGACTAGAGGAGCCTGCAGACATAGAAGAGAGCACTATTTATATAAAACGACTTATCAGTGCCCCACCTGATGCCTGTAGTCCCAGCTCCCACTGCCTCTGTGGCGCCCCACCCCCCTACCTTTTGTGAGCCCCCTGGAGTACTAACCATAGGTCTCCTTACCCAACCTAGGAGTATGACTCACCGACCTCTCTCCTTCTCACAAAGCTGACCTCCACCTTCAGTCTTCCTCTCCCCTATACTCTTCATCAGTAGTGGGATGCTGGAATTTTTTTTCTTTTACTGTAAATGCAAAATGTTGGGTAATAAGACACATGAGGACTAGGGAGTACATGCATAAAATAGGTATTTATGTGTATGTATATGTGTAACTGTCATGAGCGGCATGATCAATAATTACTTAAAGCTCTTTGACATTTTCGAATGCTCGGTTTATTCACCTCAAACACACACCAAGCAGTATAACAGTCTCGAACTTAGCTTACTCATTGGATAAAAATCTCACATCAGTTTTCATCCCAATAGGCATGGCCATCATTGGTGTACTCACCGGGTAGAGTTGGAGAGAGCAGAAGATCGTGTCTTCCCCTTGGTTCCTAGCTCTCTGAGTTCAGTCTCTCTACGGGTCTTTTATAGAACAGCTCGCTTGCTCCTTGACATCATCTTGGAAATTCCGCTGCATGCAGCCAATGTCTTATCCAGGTGCCCCAGGTATATTGGGGTGCATGTTGCTATGGTTTTCGTGCATGCTTTCTGGATTGTTTACTTTAACTGAGTGAGCCAGCATTTTTATGTTCCATTTTAAGTCATTTCAATATAGAGTCAGTTGCTCCAGTTTTTAATATGGTTCCTCATCTTGCAAGGTAGTTCAATGTTTGTAAGGTGGTCCAGCATCTTGCAAGGAAGTTCCTGGTGCTCTCATCAGTAACCCAGAGAATAAACATAACTGTGAAGCAATTTTGGAGGTGGGTGAGGTAAGAATGGCAAGAGCTCTATAAAGGGAATTTTGATTTGGGAGAATTTTCCATGAAAAGAGAAGCAGTTGATGTGATACATTTTAACCAGACATTCACTGATGGATATTGTGATGTATCTCTCAGCAATAGGTGAGACACTGAGAGGAATACATGGTAGAGTGAAGTAAGATGAACTGCCTGGTGCATAAGGCAACCCCAGGAACTACTGTGTTCATTCATTTACCAGGGGTCCTTGGGCTCCTGCATTTCAGTTCTAAGTCAGGAGCTGGGTGTCCAGTTGGGAACCAAATCACATATGAGCTATCTCTTCCTGTAGCAGCTATTTAAAAAGTCATATTCAAATGAAGAGTTTCTCTGGCTGTGAAAGAAAAAAAATGGACCCTATGAAAGAAAACAAACTATACAGGGTGGTTCTAATTTAGCTTAACGTGATAGAAGTGGATTCAGTCTGTATACTGAGAAAATGATCCGAGAAGGTAGACTACATGCAGAAAACTCAGCATCCGATTAGAGGAAAGCATATTAACAACCTTTGATATATAGATAGCCATGTTTACTCAACAGTGAGGAGGACTTGAGGGCCATGTTGCTGAAGGTCAAAGACTGCAACCTTCAGTAGGGATTGCAATTCAATGTCAAGAAGACAAAAGTATTCACAACTGGACCAATAACATCATGATAAATGGAGAAAAGATTGAAGTTGTCAAGGATTTAATTTTACTTAGATCCACAATGAATGCTCACAGAAGTGGTATTTTAGAAATCAATGAATGCACTGCAGTGGGCAAATCTCTGTGAAAGGCCTCTTTAAAGTCTTCAAGAGCAAAGATGTCCCTTTGAGGACAAAAGTGAGCCTGACTCTAAACAAGGCAAAATTTAAACAACCCAAAAGCAAGGGAAAACCGGAAAATCAATAAGGAATAATACAGAATAATTCATGAATTGACATTATGGATTTGGCAAGAATATTAACCACACCATGAACTTCCAAGGAGGTGGCTGCTAATCACAAAGTCAGCAGTGTGGAAACCATTAGCTGCTCTATGTGAGAAAGCGGAAGCTTTCTATTCTTGGAAACTCACAGAGGCAGTTCCACTCAATCTTGTCCTACAGGGTCAGGATGAGTCGGCATTCACTCTGTTGCAGTGAGTTGTATTTTTTTCTGTGAGATGGATTTCCAGATGAATAAATACACCTATTTCTAAAGACATATAGCCAGAGTGCTCCTATTAGGGGAGGATGATGAGACTTCACCTCATGTACATTGGGCATGTGATGAAGAGAGGCTTCCTGCTTGGTAAGCTAGAGTGTAAGTTTATCAAAACAACACCCTCAGTGAGGTGTATTTACACAATGGCCCCAATGTTGGATTAAAAAAAACAACACCTGTTGAAGATAGGGCAGTAGCATTTCCCTTGTGCATGAGTCCCATAAATCTTCATGGGACCAAGTAGCCTCATCTTTTCCCCATGGAGCCACTGGTAGGTTTGAGAGGCTGACCTTGTGGTTGGTAGCCCAATGCAGTCACAGTGCCACCAGTGGTCTGTATTTCACTTTCTCATTTTTCTTAAAAATATTATTTTATTAAGGAGAAATGCATCCATTTCCTAGTGTTAGGTTCTGAAAGGTAATGTTTGTTCAGAGAAACCTTTTTCAACGGTTCAATGATTCAACACCCCAAACAGCTCTGCACGTAGTAATTCTAACTCATGAAGACCCAATGTGCTTCGCAGCAGGGTTGCACTCTGAGTTCTCTAAGGCCGTGACCTTTCTGAAGCAGGTCAGAGGAACTTCTGGGTGGATGCCAAATGCAAACGTTTCCATTAGTAGCAGAATGTTTAATCATTTTTGCCACCTGCTACTTTGTCACATTTCTCTTTTATCTTCTAAACAGATCTCACAATCGCTTATTATTTTGTTTGCTTATAACTATCAGCATTATGAGAGTCATGTGTGCTCGAGAGGGCTAAATCCAGCGAATCTAACACAGATTCTCACTAAATATCTTGTTACATGAAATAATAAAGCAATGGAAGGGTAATCATGAAGAGGTTGTGCATAGGCTGGTCTCGCGGATGAGGAAATGTGATACTGGGAACAGAAAGCGTTATGGCAGACGAGAGAAGGGAGAGATAAAAAGGCAAGTCTGAAGTCCAGACAACCTGACAGATAAGGCAATTATTTTCTGCCTTGTGACCATCTGTTGGTGAGCAAAACATGAAGAAGAACGATTGAAAAGGGCCTCTGCATTTCATAATAATAACTCCTATGAAGTGGCCGTTCCAAAGAGATCACACTGCAAAGATACAACCTCGAATTTACACTACGCAGAGCACTTACTACAGCTGCTTCTGGTTGTACACAATCTGCCGCCTCCTCGCCTTCCCCGGACTCTAAATTCTGGGAAGACTCAAACTCTTAGATCCTCCATAGTAACCAGCCCAATGCTCTGCCCCCCTATTCATTGGATTGAATAAACAGCCACCAGGAGTTCCTGAAAATGTAGGTGACTCTCTGCCCATCGCAGGTTTTGTCCGGAAAGAACAAAAGGAGCGATTCGTTTCTTGGAATACCGTCTGCTTTTACCTTTAACCCCGGGGTCCCTCAAATCCGAACTCCTCTGCCTTCCAAGCCAAGCTAGGCCTCTCAGCCAGCGTTCTCGCTGCAAACGAGCCAGTGGGGCGGGGCTGCGGGCAGACCGGCTCCCTCCCGGGGCTCCGCCCCGCCTCCTCCTCCCCGCCCAGGGAGCCCCCAGACTGGGCGCGCAGCCCCGCCCCTGGGGCGTCGCCGCCAGACAGCCGCCCCGCCCCGCGCCGCGCCGCCGCCCCGGGCTCGGGATTTCCACGCCCGCACGGCGGCGGCAGCGGGGCTGTCACTCCAGTTTGTGTCCGGAACGCGGAGCTGGAGTTGGCGTCCAGAAACTCCAGAGAGGAGGTAGCGCCATGGCCCCAGTGCTGAGCAAGGACGCAGTGGACATCGAGGTGGGGACTGCGCGCCGGGACCGGAGGGGCTGGGGTGGGGGGCAGCCCCTCGGTTTAGGGGTGGGGTGGCCGCGCGGCGCCCGACGAGAGGGAGTGTGGGTAAAGTTGACCCCGCTGCTGGGGCCTGACAGGAGATCTGTGGGGTCTGGGTCCGCGTGGGAAGACTAGAGGAGAAGAGACTGGTCTGGGTCGGCACCTGTTTGGTTTCTTCGGAGAGACCTTAAGGAAGTCTGTCTGTCTTGTCACCTGTGCTGAGTGCTGGAGTCTGAAGGAGCACAGGCGTCCCAGAGGTCGGTCCTCTGGAGGGTCTGAGCGCCTGTTCCCACTCTTCCCTCACCCCTTCACCCCGCTCCTCACTCCCTGCGTGTGGTCTGGGAACACCTGCCCTCTGCCTTCGCCTCCTCCCATACCACCGAGTCCGGCTATTTGTCAAGGTAGTATGTAAAGAGAAAACAGGAGATCTGTGTGTCAGCTGCGGAGTTCCACGGAGCCCCAAGAACTGCTCCCTGAAAGGAATTAGCATAGAGAAGGATGTAACAAAGTATCAAGAACACGAATATTGCAGTTTTCTGTCAGAAACACATGAACGGCGTTTTTCTTTCCTACTAGCAGTTTGATTTCCTCTGGCACTTGATGTTTGTAAAAATGGCATCTCTCTTCCAGCGACTAAAGTCCTACCTGAGAGACGATGGTCATTTCCTTTACGTATGAGATGGGGAACATTGCAGATCAACACTGATACTAACTAAACCCAAGTCAGTGCACCTGAGCAACCTGCTCTTAGCAGCCGCCCCCGCCCCCACTTCTTTTGAGTCTCCTGCTTCGGTAGTATGTGCATGTGTATGTGTGCCTGAGAAATAACAGAATGTTCCTTTCCTGGTTCTTTCTGGTGTCTGAAGTAAAAGTTTAAAAACCACCTGTTTGCAGAATAGCTGCTTTTGACACACTTGTTCCTGCACCGATTGAGGGAACTTTGGGTTCTGCTGGACGAGGCAGCAGCAGGCTTAGCCACAGGGGCCATAGTCCATCCGGTGTTCATCTTGTTTCTTTCCTTGTGATTTCTCTTGATCTTAGTTTGCATTTTGATATTGAACAACACGATATACTTATACTTTAATTCTAAGATAATTCATGGGTCAGCAGCTGAAAATTATTTTTGTTTTTTCATATTTGCCTATTTTCACATTCAATTTAGTCCTTGTGGCTTTGAATTGACGGAATCTTTTATTTGAATGTCAAGTGGAGGGTTGCTTTTGGCTTTTGTGATTTCCCAATGAGCTGTTCTCTACCTGGATTACATATTTCTCTGTATCACTCTTGCAAATACCTTTGAAATCTGTTCTTATTCACATTTCCCTGAGGAGGAAGACCCAATGGAACACTTAAGGAGCAGTTTAATTCCATGTGCTATTTCAAGAACATTTAAGACTCATATTTCACTCACCTCAACCTAATCTTATTCTGTGTGGTCACTTTTCTTGCTGTTATTTATAATGTACAAGAAGAGTGTTATTCAAACTTTTCAATTTTCTGTGTCACATGCACTGCAGTCAGTTCCTTGACTGAGTCTTGTACTTATCTCTCAAAATGATACCCATGGTTCATGCGCTAAAATAGCATGGAAGAGCATGAAATTAATCATTAAACATAATGAAGTAAAAAAGAATAAATTAAAGCTAAAGGACCTCCTTCAAGAATAGGCATCTCAGTGTATCCCAGCTCACCAAAGTTCACTGTTGTGTGTGTTACAGAATAAGAATAATTCATGAAAGCTTAAATGCTTATAAAATTATAGTGCATATATTAGATATTCCTTCTTTGAACAAATCTTTTAAAACTGTTGTCTGGAGATTGATCTGATTTTAACCATTGTCTTATTCTGAGAGTCATAGAGCACCAAGATATAGATACATAGTAGTATGAAACAGACTGTGAATATCTACTCTTTTTTATACTAGCGCGAGCGCGAGTGCGAGCGCGCGTGCACACACACGTATGAAGTCGCATGATCAGTGTGAAAAGACGAGAAGAAGATTGTTACAGCCCCCTACAATAATGATTTCATTTCCCCCATGAGCTACAAAGTCTTGGGTTTCAGAGAAGCATCCAAACATATATTTTTGTTTCATGGGGATAGAGGGTGCTGAGTTATTGAGGTATATAAAATTATCTTGTGGGCTTATTTCTCAATTACTAGCCTCAAGCCAGTATCACAGCAGGCTTTCAAGGTTGGGCACATGGAAAATGTTCAGAAGGCTAACGGACTTCAAAACTAAAATATGGAAGATATGCATAGAGAAAATGTGTTACTTAGTCGTAGACCCTCAAAATTTGTTCTTGTCTTTGAAATCATCATAGAGGTTCCATTGGAAGTAGAATGTAGAACATTGTTTCGGTTTGGTTATTTGTTTACTTCAGAGATATTGTAATTTGCTTTCAGACCACCACTATAAAGGGTCTGCTACCCTAAAGAGAATATTGTCTATAAAACCAATATTCCCCTAAAGCAGATATCTCCATAAAGGGAGTCACATGAACTTTTTGGTTTCCTAGTGCATATAAAAGTTATGTTGATACTAAGATATAGTGTGTTAAACATTGAGCTTTAACAATAAGATCATTGGTTCAAATCCACCATCCACTCCACAAGAAAAAGACAAGGCATTTTGCTCCTTTAAATATTTAAAGCTTTGGAAACTATATGTAATCGACAGGACAGCATTGGGTGGTGGTGGTTGATAGTCTATTAAGTGTGCAAGCATTATAAAAAGGCTGAAATCTTGTGAGAACTCCCAAAATGTGACACAGAAACAAGAAGTGAGCACATGCTGTTTGAAAAATGGTGAAGATAAATTTCATTTCCTGAAAATCTTCGATTTGTGGGGAAAAAACAAACAAACCAATAATAATGTGAAGCATATTGAAATAAAACAAGTTATGTTTGTTATGGGTTTCAAAGCTTGGCTTCTGGAGCGAACTGCATTGTGTTGTGGTCTATCTCTACCTCTTTTAACTGTGTGAAGTTGGGTGTGCAAGCTAGTTTTCCTGAGTCTCATTTGCATACATATGAGGTAAGGAAAATAATAATAGTAATATAACAAACAAGCTGTCACCAGCTTCTTGCTAGGAAAAAAAGACAAACATGTTATAAAACAAATATAGAGAAAAATACGATATTCTCAGCAAAATAAATGACATGAATATAACTAAATCAATCCAAACTCACTGCCATTGAGTAGATTCTGGTTCATAACAACCCTATAGGACAGGGTAGAACTTCCCATTTGGTTTTCTGAGACTAACTCTTTACTGGAGTAGAAAGCCTCATCTTTCTCTCGATGGATATAATTAGTACTCCTAAAGTTCATTAGAAATAACTATATACTTTGAAATTTTATTTTTATTTTGTGGGTTTATTATTTATATAGTCTGAATTTTTTCAACAATGACTTTGTGTACAAATTTTGGGGGGAAGGTTTCAAAAAGAGTAAGTATAGGACATTGGACACTTTTCTGGTGCCCATTAAGAATGTAACAGAATTTTTAAATTTAGTTTGAAATGATTTCTGATATAATAACAATATCTGCACATTTAAAAGCAAGTAAAACTTATTTTGAAAGAGTTCACTTTTGTTTGATATATTACTTCCTACCTTTAATATGGAAAATTAAGAAGACTATGAAACTAATGAATATAATTAATGGAAAATGTATGCAACTGTTCTTTGAATAATAATAATTTTGATAAATATTTACAGCTAATTTGAACTGCTCCCAAATCAAAGCCCATCTCTTGAGTTTTCAGGTACCGAGTATTAAGAAATAATAACTTATTTTTAAAGTTCACATTGGATAACAAAGAGATTGATTCATTGCACTGTTGACTAGGTTATTAAGAATTATATTTATTTCAGAAGAAAGTTGAGAATAGTCTATATTAGTTAAGAAAGTAAGATTATCAAATACTGCATTGGAGAAAAAATAGACTACAATAGAAATGACTTAGAGAAAGTGATTTTTAACAAGAATTAAAAAAAGAAAGGCCTGAGATATGGTTTCGGACTTGACAGAGATGACAGAGGAGCATGTTTATAATTCTGCTGCACCTGGGGAAGGAGTAAGATAGACGTTCAAGGAAGAGAAGAATTCAACTTGGCAGGAACCGAAGAGGATAGCTACTGATCAATATAGACATAGTCATGTATATATACTGAACATAACAGTCTCTTCCGTAATAGCGCCTTTTGGTATTCTTTTATGGATAGGGCATCACAGATCTTGTGGAACTGCCCTCTTGCCCAGACTTTTGAAGCATTGTGTTTAAAATTGACTTTGAAATTTAACACTGTTTTAAAAGTTTGTATTGTTGAAAACGTATTGGTTCTAACTACCTTAAGCTGTTCTCTAGATCATGCTTAGTTTTAAAAGGATTTCTCCTTTCTAAGGATTTTAGCTGGGTGGTAGAATTTTGTTAGATGATTTAAAGAATTATTTGAGTTCATTGATTGCTCCTTGCATTTTTAAGGCACTACACATTAAAAACAATTTTTATTGTGACACATAAAGATTTTCAGAACAGATCAGTTTTGCATTAAATAATTCATATATGTATTGTCTCAACTCATCCATTGTTCTCCCTCAGTGTACAATCATCCACTCCAGTTTCTCCCTGTTAGTCTTCCTTCTTTTCTCACTAAACGTCTACATGGAGTAAGTAAACGCTGCCCTGTTGAGCTCATATGATTGTGTAGGTCCCCGGCCCACCCCACCCCCACACAGGGGTAGGTTCAGTTCCAGACCAGTAGAGTGACTAAGAGTCACAGCCTCAGGTGTCTCACTACTGCTGTTTCACCAGTAAGCCTTTAGGACTTTGGGTTTTGTTCCACATTTTTCTGTCATTCTGTCCCCAGCCATGGATTCTTTTCAGAGCAGTTGCAGTTCGCAGTGGTGGCTGGGATCCATCCAGGTCCATGGATGAGGTGTACGATACAGCTGGCAAC